ACTAAAAAAACATGCAGTACTTTAAAGTATAAATCAGAAACATGCAAAGTCTGATATTTCTATTTCCACAGATAACACCACATAGATATTCATCACACTAGACTGGAGTTAATTTCCCGTTGGAATACATATTCTATTTAAATCAAACTTTATTCAGTGTATAAAGGTTCCTTATTTATTATTTACATTATTTTATTATTTTAGATCATTTATTTTCATACATTCTTGCAGAATATTTTTTATTTCTAGGATTAAATACAGCAGCTGGTTTAAATATTTCACAACAAAGTGTGTTTTTATTGTTTGATAATTGTTATTAAAATGAGAAATAGTTAGAGGGTTTAATTTCCCTGATGACAGCCTGTAAAACATTGATTTAAATAGATTTAAAACATAAACTAGTCTGATCAAAGTCTTCCTCCTATCAAAGGCATTCTGGTTTTCAGTTTGATCTGCTGTTAAATGAAGAGTTTCACTGAAAACAAGGATTATGATCGAAAACGTTCAAACGAGCAAATGTGAACAAAGAGCTTTCCTTCATTTTCCCACAGATGAAGACAGAATAAATCAGGTTTAGGTTCCTATAATGTTGAACTATTTGATGGAGCTGGTAGAAAGGATCCCTCAGCAGTGGCTGGCATCCTGCAGCTCGTCTCCTTCCTCCATCTGACTGAGAGGGAAAGGAGTCACATTCCTTTCCTTCTCTCAGGTCAGCATTAAACGGCCATTTTAAAGATCATTGCTGCAACTTTTTAATCAATAAAATGTTCAAACAGATCGCCGAATGACCCAAGGCGCTGAGTTAAGGTCTCCAATAGCGGCGCGGGTTCGAATCCCATTTCTGACACTTGAACTACTCTTCTCCGGAGATGGTGAGTAGTTGCCTATAGTGGTTTGAGCAACATAGAGGTTTGAATCCCACTGCCACTCCACACAATGGCAGCCCACTGATCCCCGGGCGCCACACAATGGCAGCCCACTGATCCCCGGGCGCCACACAATGGCAGCCCACTGCCCAGTGGGATGGGTTAAATTTCATTGCTCTGTACTGTGAAGGTGGAATGACAATAAAAGCTGGAAAAAACAAAATCTAAACGTCCATCTGCAGAATAAAAGTAACTATTTTACTGAAAGTATATAGATCATTGTTTGATAGTTCCAAACAACCTAAATAATTATGTATTGTTACCATGGCAACATCCACCGAAAAGGATTCTGCATCAACAGCAACCGTAGGCTGAAGTGATCGGAAACTGATGAGCTGATACTGATTTTATAGACCTTTAAAAAGAATCAGGTCCTGATTCCGATTTTTTAACCGATACTGATTTATTTGACCTTTGAAAAGAATCCCTAAAATATCCCTAAAACCGGCTGTTGTTGTAAGATCATGCGACACCTTCCATGGGTTGACGTTAAGGATTTTTACTGACTTTCACATTTCATTTGCCCAGAAACAATTTTTAATTGCCCTGTATAATATTTAATAAATATAGTTCCTAATATTATTTTTGGATATATATCAATGAAACATGTTTGTTTTTTAAATGTTTTTTTGTAATTCCGTAAGTTTCCAGGTTCCTGGTGTGTATATGCATGCGTCAGATAATGAACTCAATCCTACATTACCGTGATAACATGCTTTTCAATCCTTCCTGAACATTCTTTTCAAACTAAACTTTGCTTTAAACTGTTGTGTGCTTGGTGAAATATAAATCGTAATGTTAAAAATCTAAAAAAAACTTGACAGTTTAAAAACTTACACTACTACTACTCACTAATTTAACATGTTTAGCTCTATAACATTTAAATGCACCACTCCAATGTCTAAGAGAAAAAAATTGAATGAACATTTTTTAATGTATGACCACTGTACAGAAGACTGCCATATGATAGGAATATTTACACTATGCGCAGACAATTATTATTATTTTCCTAATCCCTGACTGATCATTTTTAATCTAGTGTGTATTATAGTATAGATTAAATTCATCATCCAGCTGCTGCTCTGCAGAATTCTCTCCCCAAGAGCTGAATCACTCCATCTAGCGGAAAATCATGCGGCTTTTTAAAATCACACGAGAATGTGAACAAAACAACAAAAATGCTGCCGGCAACATTTGTGGGTCGTTTTCAGCGAATGTCGGTGATTTTAGTCATTTTGAGTGATAATTTTTTTTTTTTTTTCAAACATTGCACTTGCCGGGCAAATGCAATAAAATTTGTACTCTCCCGACAATAAAAAGTACTTTCCCCGGGCGATGGTTAACATCGAGCCCTGCCTTCAACATGTAGATGAACAGTAAAAATATCTCAGATCTCTGCTCTCTGATGGAAATCCTAGTTCACCGACAGTGTGTGGTTCTCAAATCTTCAGAGAGCCAGATACCATCAGCGGATGAGTTCAGGTTCACATCTAAATATCGGTTTATCAAAATGAAAGAAATCGAGGCTGATAATCGGTGCGCCTCATTTTCACGGTTTAGGCCAAAACAAAGACAAACAAAAAAAGGAAAATGAGGGAGAACTTCGTGAAAATTTGTGGTTAGCGTTAGCATTGCCAAAACTAGCCACTGGCTGTGAAAGACAGTAGGCGGTGCAGTGCGCCACCCACAGGCCGGGAGGAGACAGTTTTAGGAAAAATTAAGTAGTTATGATAAAAGATCCACCCAGAGAAGCAAATGATGCAAATATCTAAATATTACACCCTTGTAATTTAAATAATTGCTGTTGCCCTTCAGGTGAGATAAATATTCTGTCCCTTGATTTATGAGAATCCAATATTTGAGATATTTCTCTCATTTCTAATGCAAAAATCTGATCAGATCATTTTACTTTTCTACTCAAATCCAAAACAAAAACACTTATTTTAAGAAAACTGGCCTTTTTTTAATCAGTTTAGCAGTGTTTTAGATTCTGGATCCCTTTGAGATACTGCCTTCCCCTCCATGGTTTTATGCTGCGAAAATTAAAGTAGTAGAAAATGTGTTTGTTCTTAATATGAGCAGCTAAGTAAAATGATCTGCCAATGGTACGAAGATTTCTGTCCCTGAAGTATAGAGATCATACATTTAAGGAAAAGGAATGTTTTTATTTTATACATAAATCATTTTATGCAAATGGCAGCTTATTTACTGATCTGCTCACAGCAGTGGAATTAATGACCTTTCAACACAATTGTAGTTAAATTTCATTTATTTCCACCCAGGTGGGTTTCATGCTTGATTAGTTTTGCTGATGTCAGCAGGAGAAACTAAACCGACTTCTCTGATTCTTCTCAGCAGACCTGAAAGCTGATGAAGCAGAAGTTCTGATGAATGTTGGATCAAATCCACAGGCTTCCAGCTCATTTCCAGCTTTTACTAACGTTTGTTTAAAATGTTGTTTTTAAATACAGCTTTGTGATGCTTATTAGTGCAGCATTTATCCTCATGTTTATTTCTGTCATTTTATGGAAAGGAAATCCACCAAGAAACATTAAACATTTCTAAACCTGGTCCAGTTAAATGAGAACCATGATACTGACACCAACAGAACCACTTAGGCAGGTTATTATAGGAACCAGAACCTTTTCAGTTCTGATCCAAACCCTGACCCTGTCAAAAGCCACGGGATCTAAAGCAGCGGGATCTTTGTTAAAAATGTCCTTTACTTATCAGAAACATGGAAAAAGTTCAGAATAATTTTACATATGAAGGAAACTAAAAACGAACCGAGGTCCCAGCGTTCCATTAATAACCATCAGGACATTATATGGAGTAAAGTTTGCTCCATTATTGTTGCAAAAAAAAAAATATTTTTTTGTAAATTAGAAAATTAAAATTTTCTAATTTCCATATATAAAATGCTTGCAACAATAATGGATCAAAGTTCACTCCATACTTCACCTACAGACCAGCTGCTCGGCTCTAGATGAGGATTTCTTAAATATTTCAACCTGTGAAGCAAACAGATGGCGATGCAGCAGCCGGCTGAGCGCCTGGAGGAAAACAGAGAATCAATCAGCTCAGGAATTTATTCAGAAAAAAAACAAATTCATTTTCAAATACATTCATGTTTTAAATGACACTGCTTTAATTCGACATTTTATTTAATCAGACAGTCAATTACTAAATAATGTATTTCAGAATATATTTGAATCATGTAGATAGGGCTGTTATTTTATTCAAATATTCTAGAACCAGATACTTCAACATTTCTAAATATTTAAAATATAGGAAAAAAAATCTTATGTATTTTTAAAAATCTGTTGCAAATGGCAAAACATGTGCAGACGTATTAATGTGACATAAATACAGCACTGAATTATTTAGACTTCATTTCATTCTTGCTGCATTTAATCCATAATAGATTTTTTATAACGGTGCCTCTATTGATTTCATGGGACGTTGATATCCTGGGGTTCTCAAAGTGGGGGTCGGGACCCTCTGGGGGGTCAGGAGACACAGAATGGAGGGTCAGAAAATGCTTTCTTTTAAATCGTTGTGATGTCATCGCTGAGGTAAATGAAGGACCAGAAAACATGAAGAATAACTCTACCATGACAGGAACATTTATTTATTTACGTAAAAGATGATTCAGATTTTAAAATAAACATTTAAATTGTAACATGAAGAGTTCAATAATGAAACGTTCTGTGAAATATTTCAAACAACGTTTAAAATAATGAACTAAACAGTTAAATAATAAAATGATGACACGTAGAGATGAAACAGTTTAGCCCATTTTAGCCCTGGCAGTTTCCAAGACGACCCACAAACCGAGCAGCGCTGAAGGTCCACCATCTTTGGCAGATTTATTCGGCAGGAAAACAGCAGTTACTGCAAACAGCGTGGGCACACAAGAAGGCACGGTAGAGGTCAGGGCAGGAGTGATGCTGACGGGGATTTCACACCATCATAGCGTGTAACACAGCACTCTGAGTGGACCTGGAACCGGACCGTGTCACAATAAGAGGAAATCAAACATCACAAAAAGCAGCCTTTTCTGTTCTCAGACGAACCAGGAAGCATCATCTCTGAAGACGTTTAAAGCTTCAGGAGAAGGAAGCGTTTCTACAATGTAGTGTGGGCACTTAGGAGGCAGGAAGGGGTGCGTTCAGGTGTACAAATATTCACAAATAAGGCAGGAAGGAGCTTTGGCATGAAGGCATCACCATGTGGAGGTACTCTGCTAGTTTCTAATGATGATCGTTCGGCAGATAAAACAACTAGAAGGCGACCGCAGCGTTCAGGAGCATCGGTCCTCTGATATCAGCCGGCCCAGCAGAAGGCGCCGCTCAGAGTGACACCAGAGGGCCGGGGTACGCTTCGCCACCGCACCAGAAGTCCTCCGGCTGTGGGATTTCCAGAAGCCAGCCCTTGTTCTCCTCCGTCTCTCCCAGCTGCTCCTGGTCCACCTTGGCGCCCGTTCCCGGCTCCGCCACGCTCTGCAGCACTTTGTAATAGTGACAGTCCCGGCCGTCGTCCGGGCTGTACGGCGGCGCCAGGATGTCCAGGAAGGCGGCCGGCCCGTCCACCGCGTCGATCTGGTGGAGGTTGTCCCTTACAGGAGTGAGGAGACACGGCCCGCTGTCCTCGGCGTACTGAGCGACGGAGCGAAGCACGGAGCGCCACAGCGCAGCTGCCTGCAGCGGGGCCAGGGGGGGGTCAAACTGAGGGACCGCCGTCAGGCTGTTCTCCATCTTATCGAAACATCTGACCTTTATTTTCCCGTAGAGAACCTGGAGGGACGACAGAGAGGGATGGAAAAAACATGAAAACATTCAGGCTTCCAGGGAGGAGGAAGTCCTTCTCTTTAGTAACCTGGAGTGACGCTGAGCTGAGCTTCACATCAGGCTAAAAACCATCTGAGTGAACAGATGTAGATATGAGTTCATTGGATGTTATGAGCTAGAAAGAAGATAAATTAGTTTTTAAACTAAATCTGATTCCATGAACAAAGTGTTCCTGAGCTGCTCAAATTAAAGCAAAATCAACTGACTGATGCAGTTATGTAGCTAACTTCCAGCAGACCAATAGAAACACGCCTGCGCTCCTCCATCCAGAGGAAGCCCCGCCCCCAGAAGGGAAAATCAGATTAATAAAACTAGATTTGAACAAAAGCAAAGTTTTTTTTTTTTTTTTTTATCAAACCGTTTTCTGGATTGAAATTTATTTATAATTTCCATTTTTACTGAACTTTTTTCTTGCAGCAATGATGGAGCGTAATTCTCTCCGTAGATTTAGGGAGGAAGAACCCGGCAGCTTATGGCTCAGTCCACCTTTGAAGAACTTTACTGAATAGAAACAGCAGCGGCTCTACATTCGTAGATCTATGAATGTGATCCTATGAGGAGCTGTGGAGACGCGAGTCTCACGGAGGAAAAGTCAGCTGACTGACAACTTCCTGCCAAGTCCTGCCTGGTGACTGACTTGTCGACACGTCTCTGCTGCAGTTAGTAACCCTGAACACACTGACTGACTGATTTGCTGAACGGCTGGCCGATTGATCAACAGACTGGCTGAATGACTGCCTGGCTGATTGACTGACCAACCGACTGACTTATTGACTGACCGACCAACCAACTGACTGATTTGCTGAATGGCTGGCCGATTGACTGACTGGCTGACCAACCAACTGACCGACCGACTGACTAGCTGACTGACTGCTTTCTGAGAACATTCTGAGACTGTCTCCCATATTTATCAGTATAACTCCTCCTCCAGACGACTCAAATGATCCTTTTATTCCATCCTGCTGGTTTCTGATTAATTATCCTGCTTTGTCCCCTGAAGGCTTCCGTAGCATTCTACACTGATGCTTTAACCTTTAATCATGGCGTCTATGGGAGCCAAAGATGACAAACTGAAAGTAATCAGAGGCCAAAAACTCAGAGTTTATTCTTCTAAAACCTTTTCTTAAAAGGTTTTTGTTGCTCGATGATAAACAAATGAAGAAACAGGCAAAGTTTTATGAGAAGATCATCATGGAAAAAAAGATCTGGAAGGTTTTAAGAAAAGAAAAACCAGTTAACAATATAAACAATATCCCTTCCTTTCTGGTAACGCGGCTCTTTCGTTCTTTAATGATCCAATCTGTTGTTTGGTTAAAATCTATAAATGTTTGTTGTCCTTTTAGCAATTAAAAAAAATACAAACAACAACAAAAAACTGGATAGAAAAGTGGAAATAAAGGTTTCAATTTGTCTGTTTACTGCGTTTGTTTTTTTAGGATTTTATACTCATTACTTCGTCAATCGTCCTAAAACGTTTTCCTCATGTCGGGAGGATTCCTCATTAATATATTTCTATTTAAAACACAGCAGGCATAAATATAGCTATAGATATAGATTTTCAAGTTAGAATTTTAAAGCCCGTCCAGATGAACAGGTTCAGTTTTTAGACTTTCAATAAAGTTTGGATAAATAAGGATGAATATGGAGAGAATTTTGTTCTATTATTGGTGAAAGTTACATGTATGCTAAATTAGAATTTATTCATTTAAAAAATTTAACTAAAAAAGGTTTTAATCAAAAACGGTCTGAAAGTAATTTAGCTGTTATCTGAGATTTTGTTTTTTCACTTTTTTTTCTTCAAAAAAAACTTTTGACAGATTTTAGATTTTCAAATTTTATTCCTTTTATATTGACTTTTAACGAACATCTCTCCTTTCATTCTCTTCCCTTGTGCGGGAGACGCATTTCTATTGGTCTGTGTGAGGGTCCGGATTTTGATTGGTCCAGAGCGTTTGGATCGGGCTCGAAGTGAAAATAATCAGAATAAGAATGAAATTGCCAAACTTAATCTGAAAATTAAAAAAACGGAAACATAAAATCTATTTTAAAAATGATTACATTTGAAGAAAACATTTATGAAAAATAAATAAAAAAATAAATTAAATCACGAAATCTAAGAAGTCCCGCTATATAATTAAGTTACACTCAAAACCTTATTTTAATTAACATATTTAAAAGTTTCATTTCTAGGTTGCATATTTTCTAGGGCTGAAACAATTAATTGACTAATCGATTATTGAAATAATCGTTAACGAATTCAGTGATTGATTAATTGTAAACTGAAAAATAGAAAAACATGCCTTTAGCTGACAGAGCTATTGTAAAAGTAAAACTAAACATTTTGCAAGTAAAAAAAAATCTTTTCTGTCTGTCAATCTGCTCTATAATCCAGATCTCTTCACGTGGAGGAGTTTTAGTTTCACCTGCTTTCATTTTCCAAAAAGTCTTCTTCGAGGAACCATTGGCTGTACATTTTATTAATCGATTAATTGAAAAAATAACCGACAGATTAATCGCTTTAAAAATTACTTATTAGTTTCAGACATAATTTTTTTCCAAATAAGAAATCAAAGGTTTTTAGGAGTATTAGGGCAGACTAGGGATTTATTTTTCTTCTATTTTAAGAATAAAGACGTAAAAAGAAAGTGCTTCTTGGAAGAATTATAAAATATAACTTTATTCTCTTAATATTACGACTTTAATCTAGTAAATTTCTGACTATTCTCGTTGTGACTTTTTTCTTGTAATATTACGACTTTAGTCTCATTTTATGACTATTCTCGTGACTTCTTTCTCTTATTACAACTTTATTCTCGTAATTTTATGACTTATCTAGTTGTGACTTTTTCTCCTAATATCATGACTTTATTCTCATACTGTAACGGCTTCATTCTCGTAATGTTACGGTTTTATTCTCGTAATTTTATGACTTCTCGTGACTTTTTTCTCGTAATATCAAGACTTTATTCTCGTAATGTTACAGTTTTATTCTCGTAATGTTACGGCTTTATTCACGAAATAGAAGAGAAAATAAATCTCTAGCCTGGCCCTAATACTCCGCGGTCTATATCCTCTCCTTTCAACAATTATGGGCCAAATTTGACACCATAGAAGAATGAGCGCCTGGCGCTCAGCTTGTCTGTGATTGGTCAGGTCGGCAGCAGGCACCTTGATCATCCCGTTCATCCCCGGATGGTCGTGCAGCGGGATGGAGGTCCCGGCCTTCAGCAGGAACACCCCCATGCTGAACACCTCCGTCTCGCAGATGTGCATGTAGGTGACCGGGGGGCCGAGAGAGGCAGCAGCTCCGGAGCTCGGCTTGCTTTTCGGCGGAATGATCTTGAGGTCTTTGGCCCGGACGGAGGTGACCAAGGAGATGAGTTCATGGAGCCGATCCGCCGCTACGCCGCCGCCCGCAGCCCTGCAGTCTGTGAACGCCAAGGAGGCCTGCTTCGCTATGTTCTGGATCAGAGCACATTTGTTGTCTCGCGGCATTCTGGCTGAAAAAAAAAAAAAATCTCTAACGGTTACCAGGGAGCCCCCGCTCCGCCGGAAAAACAGCCGAAAAAAGCTTCTGCTGGCTCCGTTTGTCCCGCCGAGCTGCTCCCGCAGACCTCCGCAGAAACCAAAACTCCGCGTTTATAGAAAATGAAAACAATTCATGGTTAAAATGTCAAATTTCACCGCCACACTCTCGCCTCCCGCATCACGGTTCTCATCGTCTCGCCCCCTATCAGCCCGACCTCACGGCGCATGCGCAGAAACGAAAAGCATCCTGGGATATGAAGTCCAAGAAGGAAATATTCTGCAGGCACCAATGATGTCAGAATCACGGATTTCTGTTATTTCCTGGTATTTTTCAAATACTTTTTTTATATATATATATATATAAATATCCACCCTAATATGTTAAAACGGAAATAAAAACACCATTTCCTCTCAGTGATACTACATTTCCCAGAGTTCCTTTGGGCATAGGGGAAGGCCACACAGGCCACTGAACTCTCCGCAGCCTTCCCACCACCGCCCTGAGTTATCTTAACTTTTTAGCTTTTTTACCTGCTGTTTTTGATCTTATGTCCCAATTTGTTTTTAAAATATTTAATCTTTATATTTAATATAACCGCTAAAGAAGCGATAGGCAGGAAGTTTCAGTGATTAAAGGTGTAGCATCTGTACCTGTAGAGGGGACATCTAATGACCACCGCTAGGGGCGATTCTAGGGGGGAGTTAGGAAGATTCTAAGGACCCTTGACTGAGGGGTGCCCCAAAAGAAGAAAAGATTTTTCCCGCTATATTTTTCAAAATATAAAAAGAAAATCCAGTGAAATAAATTATCTTTGTGTTCTCAGAAAGGTATAAGACCTCCATTTATCTCCATTCATCTCCCAGTGACAGGTGAGCAACATTATGTTCAGGAACAGGCCAGTTAGCATCAATACAGTCTGTTGGAATATCCCTCTTTTTACCATTGTATATATATATATATATATATATATATATATATATATAGAGAGAGATAGATAGATAGATAGATAGATAGATAGATAGATAGATAGATAGATAGATAGATAGATAGATATAGATAAATATAAAATAAATTTAAAATAAAATGGGCTCCAGTTGTTTTTACTGTGTCCTGGACAGCTGCAGTGCATTTGGTCGCCTCCAGCGGCTTGGATTAAAATCTGTGTCAATATTAAAACAGTTTAGTAGATTTTTATATTCAGATTAAATTACAAAATACACATAAAAAATACACGTTTGTCATTAGACGTACAGATTAATTAGAAATAAGCTCTCAGGGCCAGAATAAAAATAATCTGTCCTTTAATAAAGCTATAGTGAAACCTGAAAGGAATATATTTTCACAATCCTAAACCTATTTTCTATTTATGTGTACATAGATTCAGCGGTGTTTTTTTTTTTTTTTTTTTTACCGTAGATAAGCTGTTATTATTTTTATAGGATGTAAATGTAAAGTTTAAAGATGATGTATATTTAACTTTTTTATGTTTTGATGATATTCTTTGTAAAAATCTTACAATAAAAATGACATTAAAAATGTAAATGATACTCTTCAGTGCATCTTCATAGTAGTCATAAAGTTTGCATACATTTTTTTCAGGGGGGGCAAAATCAATGTCTTTCATGGGCCCCAAATTCCTGGCGGTGCCCCTGCTTCTAGGCAAGGTTCTTCTGAAAGTGGTGGTCCAGCGGTTTTTCATTTTGGGGAGGCAGAGTTCCAGGGGGACTGATGTGCTGTCAGCCTTTTAGCACCAACACTCACACCTAAGGAGGATTTAGAGAAGCCAGTTAACCAAACAGTCATGTTTTGGACTGGAGGGAGGAAGCCGGAGTACCCGGAGAGAACCCATGCATGCTCAGGGAGAACATGCAAACTCCATGCAGAAAGACCCCAGGCCAGGAATCGAACCCGGAACCTTCCAGCTGCAAGGCGGCAGTGCTGCCCTATATAATCATCACATCGTTATATTATAGACGTTTGCAGATGAGGAGATATCCATGGCTCCAGCTTTATAAAAATATCACACCATGTTCTTAGATCAAGGACGCTGCTCTCATTCATTACCAAATCTTTACCACATGCAAAATAAAGATTATAACTGTATACCTGGACAGAAGAACCGTCCTAATTAGATAAACGTCTGAGGAAAACATCACTTCTGACATACAGCAGGCAGGAAATATTAGCGTTTAATAAACTCACAAATCATCAGTGATAATAATGCTAAGACTATACAGTTGATAGTAAGAAAAAGGCTAAAATTAAAGGTAAAAACTGATCATTGGGAAGGGAATCATTCAAGCTTGATTGCTTTGGTCCTTTTAACAAAAATGATTCTTGTTTCTCTGTTTGCTTTCAAGAAAAGGTCCACACAGTGTGAGGTTCCTTTAAGCCTTTTTTCCTGCCAGGAACAAATTTCCTCACTGCTGCTTTGGCCAATAGCAACATCTTTGGATTCAAGTGGAAAGCCTTTCTATTGGCTGAACCAGGTGGTTTTTTTAATAAGCATTCCTGAATCGGACTTTCCAGCCGATCAGATAACGGTGTATTTTGGTTAAGCTGTGTGTTACATAGATATATGAAACAGCTTCAGAGCTAATCAATCCACGGGGCCCCGGCTGTAGCAGCACAGACCGCACCTTTTTATTTAAAAGGGTTTTTAACCCATAGACATATGCTAAAAAAATAGCAGCTTAATCAAATTATTTCTACAGTTGTGCGCTTAGTTGACTGCAAAATATTTCTTAACTAAACTGAAGTATTTTTTCTTTTAAATTAAATATTAACAATAATTCAAAAGCATTATTATCACATGTGAGCATTTTAAAGAACAGGAATACCAACCATTAGCAAAAGTACCAAATCAGTCATAGATCAGGTAGAACCACACCACATTTATTTTCCAGGAAAATTCTTCTGGATGCATAGAAAACACAAATAACTGAATTCTATTCTATTCTATTCAGTTTATTTCTATAGCACAAATTCACATCATATCATCTCAAGGCACTTTCCAGTTCACCAGATCATCCAGTCAGATTGGTTTAAAGTTTTCTATCTAGGGAAAACCAGCTGATTGCATCGACTCATTGACTCTTCAGCAATCCCTCACACTAAGCATGCTTATAGCGACAGTGGAGAGGAAAAACTCTTTTTGAACAAGAAAAACCTCCAGCAGAACCAGGCTCAGTGTGAGCGGCCATCTGCTGAGGCCGACTGGGGTTCAAGGAGACAGAAGCAGACATAAAAAAAGAAGCATAGATACAAAAGGCAACTGTCAACCAGCTCCACAGGCGGCCCCGTCCAGGAAACACACAGGCAGACGAGCTCCGAGCCAGCTCCCGTATCAGGGGATGAAGAGAGGACATCCAGCCAGTCACAGTCAGAGAAACAGGACTACACTGGAAAACAGGCCAAGCTCCAACATCTAGAAAAAAGGGTGTTGACGGCAGCAGATGAAGCTACTATGAGAAAAAGCAAAAAGAGCAGAACATTAGAGATTGAACTAACAGATTCTGCAGAGTGGGAGAATAGAGACAGAATGAAGCAGAATGATGAAATAGGGGTCCCTATGTCCTCCAGCAGTCTAAACCTATAGCAGCATAACTATAGAGATAGCTCAGGATAACCTGAGCCACTCTAACTAGAAGCTTTATCAAAAAGGAAGCCTAGCCTTAGAGTTGGCGTTGACATGAAGCTGCTGCTTTAACTGCTTGGTCATTCTGCCTGATGAACGCCATCGTTATGCCAAACAGCACAGAAACAAACCTCCTGCTAAAACCAGGCAAAGTTCAGCTTTTCTAACCAGCTGTCAACCCCTATCTGTCGTTAATGTTGATGTTAGAATAATTAGTGAAGTAGAAGGTCCGTCCTTTAATGATGTGATCTATCTGGCTTTATAAAGGGAAGGCTTTCTATTCAATGGAAACAGGTTCATGCATCTCATAGACTGTTCCCATAAAGATAACATACAACTTAACGTATCCTTAGGCACAGAACCTTTATTTCTTTACTGATTAACGTTAAATTCATTGAATCATTGAGAACGTATTAGTTTTAGATATCAATAATGATCCACTGATCATTCCTTGCTGACAGGACTTTTCCTTTAATATGAGTTCACCATCAACCAAAAGAACAACATTCTGCTAAACCTCCTTTAATTCACACTCTTAGACTTAGACAGATCTTTGTCATTTTGTATACACGAGTGTATACAGCTCTAGACGATTTCATTTTTTAAAATAGAGTAATAAATAAATAAAGAAATAATTTAAAGATATGACTGTATTTACAGTTCGAATGTAAAATTTGTTTTTTTTTACTCATTCCCAGGGGTGGAGGGGTACTTATTACTTTCCCCCCGTTTCCAGAAAACTGTTAGTTCCTTCTTCCTTTAGCTCAGCTTAGCTTTTCTGGACGCCACTGATCTACAGATTTAATGACGTTTCTCAGATGAGAGAAACTCAGAGCAGATATGATTAGTAGTTTAGAGTTTTATTAAGGCGTTAGTTGTTACCATGAGGCCAAGTTGTTCAGCAGGATGAGTCTCAGAGCAAAGTTCTAGTTTCTAATAGATTCAACCTTTAACCTCTGTTCTATAAAGGAAGAATGAGGAGAATCCAGACTCTCCTGGTTTATTTTTGGTTTGTTTTTTTTAATAAGAAATGAAAAGCAACATATCTGCCCTTATTTTTTGTGGCATTTATATACTGAAGTTCTTTCCAGGTGGTGTAGAATCTATAGCAGGCGGTTCTACGCATCAATACATCAGGAGGTTTCTGAAAGTTACATGTTCTTTAAAATGACTGAAAATTAGAGGGAAGCGTTCTGATATTAGAAAATGTTATAAGTATTTCAAAAGGTAATTTTAAAAGTATTGAAGTATTTTAAAAAGTGAGTACTTTAATACTTTAAGTGGAGTAGATGTTTGACTGAGGGTCTTTTACTTGTAGTAGTACTTCATCTCTGGACGAAGTACTCAGCAGCTGTACTTTCCATCTGCAGATCACGTCTGTTATCCCTTCATAGACTTTCCAGCTATCTCATAACGCAAAATGATCTAGAATTGCAGATCTGCATAATATAGAATAATGCAGCCTAATAAAATTGAAAATTGCCTCTAAGTAACAACTAGGCTCAGACTGGGAATTAATTTCAGCCCTGGCATTTTTTCCTCTACAAAGGACCCCCCCATGAGACCGACAGTCTGCCTT